GTCTTGGCCAGTGCTGGGAAATGCCTCCCAGTACTGAGATCTCCATAACTGCAAGAAGTTTCCAGTGGGTTTTGCTTTTCAGGATTTCATATGTGACATTTCTTTTTGAAAGCTGACTTGGAATGACGCTTTGCTCCAAAACTCCTTGCTCTTCTTGTAGGAATTCAGTATTGTGATAATTTGCTGAGCCTAAACTCTACAGCTCTCTTCCTTTCCTAGATCAAACCTGATAAAATTTTCCACATGTTGCAGTAAATGTTTATATAACAGATTTTTTTGAGCTATCAAGTGTTTCCTCACACTAAGCACTCTCACATTTAAGGCAGATTACCGTGATCTGTCATATATTGTTTGTTCTGTCCCCTCACCATGGGCATGTGACTGAAGTGTTCATGACAGTAGGGAAGGGCTGTCAGATGGGAAATGAGATGTTTCTCAGTCACCCTGTGCTGTGTCCAGTAGTAATTTGCAGGGAGTTTGAAGTTGTTGGCAGCTGTAGCTCTGAAATAACACTGAGCTGTCTCCTCTCTGCTATTTCACATGAAACTGAGAATTTTTGCAGTGGTTGTTTCATTTCCCCATCTGCTCATCCCCTGCTTTATCTCATGAGACTGATGTCTTGCCACCCCATCTGCCATCCAAATACCAAGTTCCAGAAAACAACACGAGAAAGTTTGTGATGCAAATGCAATTTATTGATGTGTTTTTCATTTCACTCTGACATTTGAGACTGTTGACTTTTCCTCCAAATTGTGTGTACACAGTCCCACTGAAATGCACTTTCCTCTAGAGGGAGAGGAATTGGAAGGCTTCACAACTGCTGGAGAGATATCCATGCACCTTAATGGATAGCAGGGAAAAATCTATGTCAGGAAGAGGTTTGGATGGAGTTTTTTTAGCTGTCTACATACAGGGACTGCTGTCCATCTCTTAAAACTTTCAGAAGTTACAAAACTAGATTTGAATCTGCAGTAGAGAATTCAGATGTTTCATGTCATGGAATGGTTTGGGTTGGAAGGGGCCTTAAAGATCATTTAATTCCAGCCCTGATGCCATGGGCACCTACAGGACTGTGGGATGTGTATGATGGGGATGAGCAGCTCCACTCTACCTCTGCTAGGTGCATTTTAAGGGAACAGCAGAGAAGCATTGCAGCACAAACACAGCAATTAAGGAAATGCTTGTGGCATGTTGTTGTCCCCCTGATCTCTGCAAATAGCAGCTAAAACAAACAGGAATTGTAAGGAATGGTCATGAGGAGCAGTGGACCAGGTGCTGCATGTTGAGCCTTGTTAAGGAGCACAGCAGCCTCCTGGGTGCAGTGAAGGAGAACCATCTGTGCCACCCAGTGTTTTCTTGCAGCAGGGAGATAAAATTCACCTCAGAGCCACTCAAGTGTCTTGCAATTCACTGTTTTCCCTGAATGTGTTGCAGTAAGTAATGGGCATTGTCCTGTCACACTTGGGGCTTGCTGAGCTTCTTGGTGTAAGGCTTTACCATTCATTTTCCCTGTTAGGTTCAATTTTTTTTTCCATGGTCTTCCTAAATAGATAGGGCCTGGTTTCCTTATGTGCTGCTAAGCAGTCCCAGGTGGAATAGAGGGGACTTGCAGCATGGGTGAAACTATGGTCCATGAAGTTATTTTATTATGAATCCATTAAGGACTTTGCAGTTTGGTGGGTAACTGAGGTGTTCAGGGAGTTTATACAGGAAAAATATTTTATTGCTTATTCCAGTGTGAATAGGCAGGAATAGGCTTGGCCCATGTGCATCTCACATCCCAGCATCCATAGTGGAGCTCCCAGTTGATCCCAGCTCTCTGAAGCCAGGCTCAGTGTGCAGTTAGTCCAGGTGAGAGGCAGTGCAGCCCCAATCCCTGTGAGACTTGTCCTGGTGGATGTAATACTGTGTGGAACAAGCCTCCTGCTTGTGATGGGGCAGCTTTTCCAGGAGGATTTGCAGCTTGCAGGATATTTTTTTTGTTGTTGTGGCTCTTAACACTGTGCCCCAGGCTCCACTAAATAGACAACCTCATTAAAAGAGAAATAGCGATAGTAAAGCAGTGACTTTCTCATGCCATCTAACTCACATTTTTGACATGATTGCTGGACCCTCCAAGTACTTAATTGATTGACTTAATTGATTTAGTGGCACTGGAGGCTACAGCATGGAAATAAAGGGGCAAGATGAGGATAAGGGGTGAAAAAATTTATGATAGGTGCCAAGCAGCCTGAGGGAAATTAGAAATGCTACAGATCTCAGAGGCAGCTAAATCAATTCAGGGTGATGTACAGGGAGCGACCTGGGGGAAGAGAAGCAGGGGATGGAGTGGAGAAAAGGAGAGGAAACAGTAGCTGGTGGGAGAGACCAGAGTAAACCTGAGGGGAAGAGGAAAGGCAGCAGGCTTGGTGCAGATGGATATTTTGAACTTTTGAGTTTAACACCAGACAGAAATGTCTTAGTATATGAATAAAATACAATAATACCATTATGTTTAGCCTAAGAAAAAGAGCTCATGCATCACAAGAATGTCTTGTTACCCAGTTTGAGACTTTATCTGTGCTTCCATTTGAAATCTCCAACATTTGAAACAGTGACTAAAGTCACAGGAGACCTAAAATAATTTGGAGGATGTGGATTTTGTTAACAACTGAAACTTAAATGTTAAATTACTTTCTAATCTCTGCAATATGTAATTGACTGTGTTGAACGGTAATACAAATTAAGTCTTCTCTATAATTTGTTCTGTCATGTTGCAGTGCTCCAAAACAATTTGGTACCTCACTTAAGGATTGGTAAATGGTTTGTAGCAGCTCTCAGTCCAGACAGAGTAAAAACTTCAAATGGTGTGTGATGGAATCCATCAGTATTGGCATACAGGGGTGTCAGAAACATCCCTGAGTTGAGAAATAATTATTTTATGTGCTTGTGGCCAGTAACACGATTCTGATCTTGCATTTTACGGTGGTGAATCTCTCCTGACGGCAACAGGAGCCCCATTTCTGCTGTGCAGGAGCAAAAAGTCAGACACTCAGTATATAATGCTTAGAATGGATCACTGGAATATGTAGAAAGGACACATGAGGTGAACTGAGGGCCATGAAAACACAGATGTGTTTATTTCTACATTTGGGTACAGCATGCACCATTGCATTTCACATGTGTGTTCTAACTCAGTGTCCCTCAAACAAGTGAAAAGCTCTCCCTGAACACTCCATCCAGTAAAATACAGAAAATGATAATTGCAGTCACCTTTAATTAATTTCTATTTCTATTGATACAGTGTGTAATATCATAACCATTGGAAATATAACGATTTTTGAACAGTGAATGTGGATTCCCAAATAAATTGCAGCATCTCCATCTGCTCTCTTACCTTGTGGGTGATACTCTTCCATGGTAGAACAATCTTCAAATTTAATTCCATGAGGAAGGCATCTGATCACAGTTTAATTTCAGTGCAAAACGCTGCCTGGCAATCAATAAAGCAATGTCAGAGAACTTTGATTTAATAGGAGCCAGAGATAACGTTCCCTGTCATATGCAGAATAGAGAGATGGGAACATTTCATTTCATCCTAACAGATAGCATGTAACTTGCTTTTCAAAAAAACCTAATAAATCAATATTCCTGTATTATCTAAGTAAGATCCCATCATTAATTTTAAACGCTCAACACGTCAGGAGAGTCTGAAGTGCACCTTCAGCTGAGCCACGTTCTGCCTGCAGTCACTGGCAACGCTTAACTCTGCCACGAGCAAGCAATCTTGATATGGGGACATTAAGAGCCATTTACTGTGAAATGAAAATGAAACATGTCCAGTCTTTTGTTTTATATGGAGCCATCCATCTCTTGCAGGCTGCCTCTCCTTCCAGATCCCACTCCCTGCCCTGCAGCAGCCCCGTCACTCGCCCTGCACACCCTCTGCCTTTTTCCTGCCACACACAGACATCCTCCCTCCTTCTGAATTTTAAAACTTTAACTCCTCTTTTTTAACTCCAAAAATAACTGCTTGTTTAGAGATTGCCTGGATACCATGCTGGTTTTCAAGATGTGCTTTTCTCAAAGCCAGCAGGAATCTGGACCTCCAAAGAATTCTCTGTGAGGCTTTGCCTGCTCTCAGAAATAGCTTTATCCCTAGATGATACAAGAGCAGGTCAATGTATCAGAAGACAGAAATTGAAGCTAATAGATTTTTTTAGAAAAGCTTTCCAAGGAAAAAGTGGGATTATTTTAAGTGGAAATACTTCTGTGTTACTTGGATAATAAAATGCTGTTTAGTGCAAAGTGAGAAAGATTCTGGCACTACGAGAGATGATTCGAAGAGCCTCAGATTAATGTCCTGACTCTGGACAGAGTTGTGCTCACACAGTTAAAATTAAGTCTTTTTATTATTACAATTCACCAAAGTGGGATTTTAAGTAAAATGTGGACTTTTGCATTCAGCATTGATTTACAGTTGAATAATTACATTTACATTCATTTTCTGAGGAAAATAAGCATTTGGAGCTGTGTTACTGCTTGAAGTGAAATCTCTCACACTGGGTGATGCTGATTTCTGTGGAGATAAGGCAGGTCTGGTACTGATTCCTTGAGGTATTGGAGATCACAGCTGTAGGTCTGCAGATCAGCCTGGCCTGGGAGTCACCCTGTGTGAAGCTACAGGTTTCTGTAGCCCCTGCTTATTTGTGTACCAAGAAATACTGATTCTGTGCCTGGGATGCTGAGTAGGTTGTAGCTAGGTTATGCATTTTTTATTTAATTGTATTTCACTTAAAGATACCTAGAAAAATCATCAGTGAAAGCTTTTAGTCAACTGACAAAAGCAAGTCAAAGCTGATTAGATTTTGAGCAAAAAAGAGGCTTAAAGAGTTCAGATATTAATTGGTTTTCATATCAGAATGTGTTGGGATCCAGATAAAGTGGTGAAGGAGAAATGATACTGCTTTTTAATCAAATATTCTGATGGATATTCTCTACTGTTGTTTGGTTCTTTTTAGCTACTCCAGCATCACCATGCAGTTCATGAAATTTCCTACATTGCAAAGGATATCACAGACCACCGAGCGTTTGGATACGTGTGTGGAAAGGAGGGAAATCATAGATTTGTGGCAATAAAAACAGCCCAGGCAGTAAGTATCAAATCACTGTCATTTTCTGCCATGTAACTCAGCTGAAAAGCCATTTGTGAGGAGCTGTTCAAGAGGCTGGTCTGGGGTTGTTTATGATTGTGCTAAACTGGTCACAAGTGTCTGTGTGGATCTTAAATAGCAAATTAATGGAACCAGCTTGGGCAAAAGGGAGTGTGTTTCATTGCTCCCAATTTTTTATGATGTGTTTTGTTATAATTAGTTATTGTTTACCTTTCTAGCTAAGCTAAACTGAATGAAGATAAATTTGCTTATGTTCCTATACTCATGGAAACCACATTGTGTGTAGTCTACTGTAATTTCAGTGGGTGAGAAACCACTAATAAATATGCCTTTACTTTCATCCATGTGCCTTTTATATTCATAATGCTTTTTATATTCATAACTATAATTATCATTAATTTTCAAGCATAGTTAGTTCAGCAGGAATTAACCCAGGCCTGAGTGCTGAGATAGAAATTAATTCTATATTGAGTTTCATTGTGGAGGTGCTCTATCAGCAGGATGGGATAAGAGGTGTTTATTTTCCCCTACAGAAATTCTCCACCCTGTTTTTGCTTCCTTAGGCTGAACCTGTAATCCTGGACTTGCGAGACCTGTTTCAGCTCATCTACGAACTGAAACAAAGGGAAGAAATGGAAAAAAAGGCACAAAAGGACAAACAGTGTGAGCAGGCGGTATACCAGGTACACCAATAAGCTTAGACTACTGCCACGAAAATTTGGGTTTGGAGTTTCTCCCAGAATTGCTCCAGAGAGGCTCTGAGCATCCTCAGCACTCCTGACAGCAGTGGGTTTGAGCAGTGCTGGCTTCCCAAGGACCAGCGTGAGCCAGCAGCCAGCCTGAGCCCAGCCTAGGATTAAACTGAGCTCAAAGCTGTCCCTGGGGTGTGGTGAACCTGGTTAGCAGCTGAAATGATCCCCTCATTTCCTGCTTAGTGTTTCTTCTAGTTCAGAAGGAAAATTTTAATGAAGGGTCAGTGTTGTAAGCCAGGTTTTAAGTGTTGTGAGCCAGAATTTAAGTGTCTCATGCTTTAGGAGAAATTCAATATACTTCTGAATGTGTGTGTTTGAATCAAGTCAAACAAGGTGCAGATTGTCAAACTTGGATGGAACTTGAATAAAGTTACTTTGTACCATAATGTGACTTCATCTGTATCCTAAAGAAAGAAAACTATAAACTTACCTGCCCATTTTGCTTATTCCTTTGCTGTCCTTTAATTTCTGAATACAGTTCTTTTATCTCTGCTGTTTATGTTCTTTGCTTTTACTGCCTGTCCTCTTACTTTGCTGTAGACAATTTTGGAAGAAGATGTAGAAGATCCTGTATACCAGGTAATTTCTGAAGCTGTATGGCCTTGGAGTTTCAGAAATGACTAGATACATGTTATCTTCAAACACAGCCAAAATCTTGAACAAGATGTTTTGAAATTTACTGAGAGGTCTTGTGAGAAATCTTTAAAACCTCCACAGAAAGGAGCATTTTTAGAAATGAAGCTGTAAGTAATAGCACAATATGTCTGTATAGAATGGAATGTTTCAGTTGAGGTATAGAAATATTAGATGAAATGTGTCATAAATGCTGCTTTAAATGTGGCTTGTGTAGCCAGATTTTAAGTTTCAAAATGAGATTTGTCATCATTTTTTAATACAAACTCTTAACTGAAAAGGGAGCTACTCTGAGAATTAGGGAAGGTGGCATCTTGTCCTCATAGTAATAAGTTGACATTTTGTTTTTGTTTTCTGTGGAGCCAGAATTTAATTCAGAGGGTGAATATTTGGGGGAAAAAAACCAAACAGTAGCATTGATGTTGTAACACACTCCTTGTTGGTGTTTGAGCTATGATTTAATAATAGATCTGAAATTTAAGTCTTGCTCCATCCAAGAAAAATGTCTGGGAGCAAAGATGATTATCAGAAATGTGTCAATATATTCATGTCCAATACCCTGCTGAGTGTGAAGAAGAAAAAGATGTAATTTCATTCTCGTGTTTTTGTGCTGAAACAAAATATGTGATAGTTTACTTTTTTTTCCTGGGGATTTTGTGTTCTTCCACTTAGGCGTATCAGTGGGAGTCACGCTGAAAGGATCCATTTCAACCATTAGTGAATATTGAACAGTGCCTAAGGTGCAGCAAGGAAGATGATAAGAGTCAGGATGCCCTAAATTACTGTTCAGCTATTATAATGTCAGGAGTTTTGTTCTGTACTCTTCACAATAAAGCAAGAACCTGAAAATGAAAAAGTGTTGTGCCAGCCTTTTGCCATGTGGCGTGTTCCACGCACACCAGCCTGTTCTCCCAGCTTGGATTTAGCACTTTTATTCATAGATAATAAATATATGTGGAAATAATTGCCATTATGTAAAAGAGGCAAAATCCACGTTGCCTTCAGAAAATTAATACTGGGCCACAGGCAGTCTCCCTGGCGAGGAAGAATTAGGGAGTTGCTCTAATGATCATTAAGAGGAGATTTAGGCCTGTTCATGAAATATGAAACAACCTTTCCTGGTGCTTCCCAACAAACCAGTTGTCCTGCTGCCAGCCTGTGCTTTGAAGTTGTTTCTTTAATGCCTGCCTTTGTTTTGACCTGGAATTCCAAACGGCCTTTTTCCCTTCTGTTTCATCTCTGACTGTCCCTCTCTGGCGCTGCTGCCATAGTACATTGTGTTTGAGGCTGGACACGAGCCCATCCGTGAGCCTGAAACGGAGGAAAACATTTATCAGGTATAAAACCTCTCCCCTCGCTGTTCCCATCGCAACGAGCGCCAGCATTTGGTGAAAGTGCATTTCATACATAGCTCGCTTTTAGTTTTCATCCATCACCAAAACTGTCTTGGCATTTCATTCTGGTGACATTATCTGCCCAGTCACAATGTGATTTTTCTGTTGTTTGTCATATCAGCTTCTGCGAATTGATATTAACTTTGTCAACTCACAAACTTTTGAGTACACCATATGAGGTGATAAATGGAGATTCTCTTTTTTTTTTTTTTCTGTTAATTTTTTTGAAATTTTTTACACCTATTCTGAGAAACATGCTGAAGATGTTTTGTTGGCAGGCCATCCAAGCAGTTCCTAGAAATTTCAGTGGTGCTGCTCTTGTTTCTGTCTAACCAAGGAAATAACTGAGCAAAACCTCAGAGCTCTCAAGGGATATCCCCCCAGACCAGGGAAACTATTTTCAGAGTGCATATGTTATGTTAAAGCCCAAGCTCACATTCTTCACACTGACAAAAAACTGCGTTGAAAGCAATATAAAATAATCTTTTGTCGTTCAATTTATCCTCAAGGGATCAGTACGAGGTTTATTAAAATATAATGTAATTCATTTTGTATCACATACTAGAGGCAAATCTGAGGATAGACAGAGATCCTTGTGCGCTGTGAGAAAATTGTGATTCGAGGAAATTGTTCAGTGTGCAGGGGAAGGAGTTTCAGGCAGTGATTAAGCATTTCATCCAGCTGGACTAGAGGTTGATCTGCTTATAAGAAAAGATTGTAAGGTAGGCAGGAGCAGGGATAGAACAAAAAGGAAAAGCATTAAGTAATGAGAAAGTGTAGGAAGATAATAGAAAAAATGAGATGCTAGTGTAGCTGTAAGCTAAAATAAAAAGCTGATTGGGAAAGAGAAATACAAGTTAAATGTTAGAAAATGACATCTTATAGATGCCATCAGAGGGTCATTAATATGAGATTCGTTTACTTTCTCCCTGCTGCTCCCCTGGCACCACGCACACTCAAAAATGCAGCTTTTTGTATCTCCACACCAAGACATGCAAAGCTCTCACTCAAGGTGAGAGTCTGCCTAAGGCTGAACATTTTCAGTGTTGAAAGTTTGACTATTCTCAGCAAATGTTAAAAAATTGCTAGGCTAGTTGTCAGGTTTGTGCTAGAAACAAAAATCCCATGAGGACTAGATTTGAGGGGAAAAAAAAATGATGATGGTTGTTCATCAAAGTGCGGAGCTTTTAGTGACACTTCAAAGAATTAGCAGGTGGAAGGAGGCAAAATGAGGCTGTAGCTCCCAGTGTTTGTAGATCTTCCAGCAATCATGGTGGGTAGGGAAGAAGTTGGAACTGTGTTTTGAGGAATAGCCCAGAGAACTTTAGGACTCCTTGGGCAGTTTCTTTTCCATAAAATAGAAATAGAAGGTGAAAAGCTGGTAGCGAGGCCTTGTCTCATCTCAAGGTACTGCTGTTACTGTCCTCTAAGTCACCAGAGAATTGCTCAAGGCTTCATTTGACAGCATCTGGATGTGATGAAGTGTTTCCTCCCACAGTGCTCACAGAAAACACCTGTGATTAATGTCCCATATACTCTGGATCTTCACAGCCTAGCATTGTCCTCTGTGTTTACTACAGGCACTATACTACCTGAGCACAGCAAATGCTGAATTGGGGAGTTAGGAGTCATTTTTTGGTCTCTCTGTAATGGATGGATGCTGAGGTGTCCCAGCTGCAGACTGGCCTGTAGCCATGAGCTTCCCAGCTCCCACGGGCTTCCTGAGCTCTTGGCTTCCACAAATACGGGTCTCCACACCTCAGATTATACACTCAGATCCTGACAGAATTGTTTCTCTTACAAGATCTTGGTAATCTCAGAATCATCAGGCTACTGGTAAAAACAAAATTGAGAAAGATCCTCTTTTATATTTTTTTTTTTTTGTGCTTTTGGTTGATTGGTTGGTTTTTCATTTTTTTTTCTTTTAAATTTGATGCATATTTGTGGCAGCTTCTATTATTTACTGTGAAGCCTTCCCCACAGCAGACATTGCTAAAGATATATCTGCTCAATAACCTCACACAGCATTGCTTCAGCCTCACCAAACCTTTCTGCTGGTGCTGCTCTGGCTTTTCATTTCCTGGCATGCAACAAATTCACTTCTTCCTTGGTGGAAGAGATTCCCAGCCCGTGGGGAATTGCAGATGAAAGATACGTGCAGAAAGTGACAATTTCTATTTCTTTTTAGCATAATAGAGGTCACAACTTTCTTTTTAAGCATTCTTTCTCTGTCTGTCACCTTTCTTTGATACATTACCTCAAAGAGCGTCTGTGTCTGCTCTTCTAATATTATCTATGTAAGTTGCTATAATTTGTTAGGCAAGGACTCAATCACTGAGCACATACCAGCCCTCAGATTGCTTAATGGCAGCTCCTCTGCTGCCTGGCGTTCTGGAGAGGTGGAGATGGGATTTTGGGAGGTGTTTTGGTGTTTGTGTGGCAGCTCTGGTCTCTGTGGAGAGGCGAGTTCTGCTCCGTGAGGAGCTGACAGTCCGAGATTGGGGGTTTAGGACTGTGGTGCTTTTATTGCTGCAAGATGCAAAGACATCCAGATGGTTCACAGCCTGTCACAGAGACAGAGCTGACAGCAGAAATAGAGCTGGTACCTCTTACTGGTGCTGCTAATCAAAGGGAAAACAGCAATTCATTGCAGCCCCCAGAGTAAGCAAAGATGCAAACAAATGCGGTGAACAGCAAGAAAAGACAGCAGGTCAGGCAGCACTGAGTTGGGAGGGAGAAATGGCTTTCAGGAAAGTTTCTCTGTCTTCATATGAGATGCAAGGAGCTCTCCTCTGAGTATAAACTGGAGTAGAAAAAGAGGGGTTGATAGTGCAGGGGAATGCTCAGTCCACAGTGAGCTCTGGATGTAGGTGCAAATTGGGATGTCTTCACAGAAAGGTTGGAAAGAGGAAGAGGAGAATGGCTGAAAGGGGAAGATTTTGGAGAAAACAGAAAAAAATGCATAAAAAATGCACACTAATGAAAGTTTAGAAACAGTTTATCTTTCCTTATCTCCCCTCCTTTTGTGAAGATCCATCTTTCCAGTGACTTCCTAAATCAATCATTCCTGGTTCCTGCTCTCACACTGTCACCTCCAGCTCTCTCTCTTTCCAGATTCTTACTGCCATGGCACTGAATTTTTACCAGTTTCACATACCTAAAGTGATACTGGTTTACGTGGAAGTGGCCAGAGAAAATCAAAGATAAGAATAGAAGAGCTCTTCCACAAAGTTCATTCAGTTTCTTTGAGAGTTCTTGACAAACTCTTCAATATGCACCAAGTTAAAAACACAGAGCTTCTTGTGAAGGCTGTACAACAGTACAGAGATGTTTTTATACAGAATATCATACAGAATAATAAATTACAGCATATCTCAATGAATAAGTAACATTTCTTCAGCTTCTCCTAGACCAGTCTGAGTTTATATCAGAACCTTAAGATACTTACTGTCTTAGAAAACAAAAAGGTCATAATTTTATCATATTTGCAATATCATCTCATTGACCTATGAGGTTTCATGGTTGTCTGAAATGTAACTTTTGTACTCCCAATGCCTTGTTTAGTGGAAAAGCACCACTGATGAGAACAGGTTACTGGTCTTTTTGCTTTTGTCATTTTCAATGGACACTCAGTGCTTCCAGGGAGGGAAGGAAATATAATCACAAATTATAAATATGCAAACAAGTGGTCCTTGGGTGAGCACAGCCCAGTACTACAAAGCAGCTGAGTCTGCATGAGCCAGGTTATAAATCCCCTGGATATAAATCATGACTGGTGGCTCAATAAAGGCTCACACAAAGTTTTACGTGCACTGTCCCCTGTCCATCTCTTCTTTGACAGGCTTCAAGAGGCCTTAATTCCTTAGGAAAATTGCAGCATTATAACCAAATATTTCATAGAGCAGCCACAAGGCCCCATTAGGACACTTTTTAGATGGCTAAATTAATTGTGAGGAAGAAATCTGACACAAGGTAAAAACATCTCTTACCCTCACCTTGGTCGCTCTGCTCTGTGTCTCTGGGGAGATGATGAACTCACCTGACCATAACCTCCATTGCACATCTCTAACCCCCAAGTTAAAGAAAAAACAACCATTTAAGTAGAAAAGAGCTTCAAGTACACCTGGACTTCATGCAACCAGAATTATCTGAGAATGGAGATTTCCTTTCTGAACACTCCTGGGCTGTAGAAAATTCGGATAGGTGTTCTATTTCTTCAGTATTTTCTCCATTAATGGCCCTACTTGGATAAGAAGGAAACCATCCTCGATTTCATTAATGCTAAAAATTAGTATTAAATAAACTACTCATTTAGGTACACCGTGTGCATAAATAGCAGGTTCTCTTTGTAGTTTTTCATCCTAGCTGCTTTTGTAGTGACCTCAGTTTTCCTTTGCTGTTGCAGGTTCCTACCAGCCAAAAGAAAGAAGGTGTTTATGATGTGCCAAAAAGTCAACCTGTAAGTGTAAGTATCTCCCCTATTTATATACAGTAAAGGAAGTGTTGTTTTTAGCTTCTGTGGCTTTTGTTATTTTCTGTAATGTTTGATACATTCCTCATGGTGTGACTCTTGTCAGTGATACGTTATGGGTTGGTGTGGACTGTGATGTCACTTATATCCATCTCATTCATTGCTTGAGTCTCCTTTCTGTCTTTTCTCACTCATTTTTAGGCAAGTCACCATTTGTAAATGTGTTATTTGTGGTTAGAAGTTGACAGCAAGCCTTCTGCCTGTTAATGCTTGAGATGCTGCCTGGTTTAAAAGGGTTCCTCTGGTACCCAAATGTGTATTATTTCTGTAGTGCTCCAAGTATACAAGAAACAAAGCTTAATTCAGTTCAATTTTTTCTATCCTGTGCTTTGTGTGGGCAAGAAAATATTAAAAAATAAGGGTAATATGCTGTTGTAGCCAAAAAACACCATTCCCATTCTGTGTATTGACATTTTGAAAAGGTGAAGCATTTATTCCCAAAATATGTAAAAATGGTAACAAGTGTTTGAGAGAAGTGACAGATGCCTTAGAACAAGGTGTGTGTTTGCTGAAGGGTAGGTTATGCTGTTAAGTAGAAATTTGTGCTATAAATGCCTCAAGAAATTGTTGGATTGCTTTGGTTACCCAAAAAATTAGTATTTCTAAGGATCTGTGTGAGAGTGGAGAAAAGCCAAGGAAAAGAATTTCAGAATTGTAGTGGGAGAAGCATGGGGAAGATGCCCGTATTGAAGAGAAGGAGACTTTTTTACACCTGGATATGGTGGTTTACACAGCGACCAAGATGTGGAATAAAAAAAGAAAAATGCTGTGAAGGAGCTGGATGGGGACCTGGACTGTGACTTCTGGGCTTTGCACAACCAAACAAACAAACCCTGCCAGAAATATTTCACCATGAGCCGGTAGGAGCAGGGAGGCATCTTCATGTTGCCTGCAAAAATCTGGTGGAATAACTCACACTGCATCACTGATTGAGGTATTTGTGTGCATGGAGTAGCAGTTGATTTTCCACTTACTTTTCATGCAGTTTTTCATATAGTTCAGTGGTACCATTTTTCTGCTGTGCTTTTCCTGTGACTCTTTTATTATCCCTTCAGTGGTGCTTCAATTTCATCCAGGGTACAGTGTGTAATTTAGGTTGTTGCTGTGTGGCTGGTTGTGCAGTGCTTGCAATCATGTCTGCAGACACTCTGGTACTACCCTGTCCTGTAAATAGCAGATGTAAGATACAGGACTCGTGGAACCTACTCTGTAATCATCAAATACATTTAATCTGCCATCTCCATGAAGCTAGTTGCACCTTTTTTTTTTTTCCGCTAGTTCGTGGTTAAATTTAAAGGGATTAAAGCTTTTTCTCTAATCAACTTCTGTACATTAATTAATGAAGAAAAGGAGAAGAGGAAGAAAGAGGTAGCTGAGATCCTGTTTCACCTTTTTATATTAGTATGTATTAAAAGAAAAAAAAAAGAGCAATAGCTCTTAAAATTAGCAATTTAATATTCCACTGCCCATCTGATTTATTGCTCACCCATCTACATGTGAGACTCTCTGTCATTGAGACACTTGCCATAATTTTGTTTTCAATTTATAGCTGTCATTATTATATAAACCTCTAAAATTCAATCTGAGGGCAAATAATCATGCTCATGTACCTGGTTTAAACATGTAAGGACACTTCCTTTATTAGGAGGTCTTGCTTTCAGTAATTTCATAATGGATGAATGAAGTGAGGAACTTTTTTGTGGCTCCTGGTAGGTTTCAGGCACCATGAATTCTCTCTGCTGACAATACATTCAGCTTTTAACAACAATGCAGCAAGTTTTGGTTGAATTCAGGCTGAATTGCCCACAGTCCCTGCACAGAGATGGAGTTTCCATCTTGGGATTGTTTTCCTCTGGTGTGTTCCCAGGCAGGTTTAGTCTCTGAACAGAAAAGTGAGGGATATTGAAGTGGTCATCCAGGTGTCCTCCAGCCTCTCTGTAGCCAGTGGAGAGAATTGGCCATTTCTGAGGTTGGATTAGCCTTGGAACAACCTTGCTTGGGAGAATTCCCTGCCTATGGCAGGGGGTTGGAATGAAATGATCTTTAAGGCCCCTTCCAACCCAAACCATTCAGGGATTCTCTGATTCTGTGGAATTCCTCCCGTGTGCACAACGTGTCCCTCTCAGATGGAAATAAATGTACAACTGCACGTGGTTCTTTTGTGGCTGCAGATGAATTTTAAATGACCTGCAGCTATGATGGCTTCTAAACGTTAGGCTTAGGTAGGGTGAGATCCACCACAGTGTAGAGGCTTGAGGGCAGAATCCCCATTTCAGAGGCTGCTTTGAACCTGGGCAGTGTGATTCACACTGATTTTCAGTAAGATACAACTTCCTAAGGCACCAGAACCATTTGGGCAAATATTTCTCCATGGATACGGGATCCCACTGAGGCAGAAGGTGTAAAGCATCTCCCTGGTGATGCCAGGGAGGAGCAGGAGAGTTCAAAATTGTGTATTCATGTACTTAACGATGCTGTGCCATTGTGTGAGGCCGTTTGTCAGCAGGTGTCAAAGTGCTTTATAGCCTGGCTCCTCATGATCTCTGATATCAAATAATGTAAATACGGAGCAAATGAGGCGGAAAGGAATGAGCCTCATCCCGGGACTGGAACGGACCCACTGAACTCAATTATCAGCAGTGGCTGCTTGCCAAGTCACTGCTCTGACATTGGGATGGAAAGATTGCTTACTCAATGGAATTCTTGTGTTTCCCCACTTCTCTGCTGCATCCCTTCCCAGCAAATACTGCTCTCCCATGGTTTTCCTCTGCTGGGTGTGCAGCTGAGCTCCAGACACACTTCCCCTGGAATTCAGTTCCCTCCCAGTACCTCTCCCTTCCTCTGTATTAACTCACATTTCTTGAATTCATTCTTATTTTCTCTCTGCTCTGTCCTTGGACCAATTCTCCCGTTCCCCATTCACTGAGAGTAGACATCAAGACAAAGAAAGCAGGCTTACCCTAAATTCTTCTGTTAAGTGGTGCATGCTCCACTTAGAAATTCTAGTTCTGTGTGTGAAATTAACTGTTCTAAAAAAGGAAAATGTTTAATGATCTCTTTTTGTCATAATTTCCCTTCGTCTCCCCATTAAACATCCACATCAAGTTCTACCTGTCACGGTGTTTTTAGAAATAAGAGTCAGACTGTAAAATACCCTTCACAGAACCTGTCAGTCACGTCACAATAAAACCTTCTCTCCTCCTCAAAATGTCTAAACTATCTGCCTAACAATTTCATGGAGGCTTTCAAACAACTCATCTCGCTGCTGTGTAAAGATCCAAGGTATCAGAGGTGGAGCCTCACAGTGCAGGCAGGCATTTGGCTGGTGCCAGCTGTGTGGGGAATATCAAACCAGGCTGGAACAGAAGGAGAAATTCCACTGTCTTAGGGTGTGGTGTGGGAGGAGTAGATAAAGCTGGACCTGAGCACACTCAGGTTTAGAAGACACGAGACCTGCCTGGTGGTCCTGGTGTGTTTGGGAAAGCTCAGCTTTGATTCTGGCTGGGATTGCAGTGCCATTCCCACATCTGGCTTCTCCCAGATGTGGCTTTGCAGAAACAAAGAAAACTTGGACACTGGTGATGCTGACTTCAGCCTCCACAGTCAGGCTTCCAGGACCAAATTCTCAGAGATGAGGAGAGAGGGAGTGCACAATCCTGGTCTCTGGCCAGCTGTACTGGGACAGCTGTCCCATGGAAGTCTGGGTTCTCATCATCTCTTGTGTCTCCCACCTGCAGCTGAAGGAAGCCACCCCTTGTCCCCAGGCTGTGATGCTGACATTCAAGGGCTCATCTTTCCCTGTCCCGACCACGTGGCTGGGACCTTGGCACCAGCACCCTCTGTGCCTGGGAATTTCATTATCTTGGGAATGTGTAGCCTGGGAGCAGTGTGGGCCTGGCTCCAAGCTGGAATCACCCCGGTGGTCTCTTGATTTATTAGAGTCTGTCAGAGAAAAGTGGTAATTGAAGCATTTTAAATACCATTTCCTATAAGAGTAAATACCCCAAGTACACAGGGAATTCAGAATTAAGTTCCCTGCAAATGAAGAGAAAATAAACAGATGAGTAAGCGTCTGTTTTGATCATATGAAGAGTTCCTTAATTTAAGGGAAGCTATTGAGTAACAGTAGAGCAATTCAATTCCCTCAACATGCCTCAGTAATCTGGGATGTCAATTATATCCAACAGTCCCAATTCTTCAGCTGTGCAGGATTGGCTAACAGGATGTTTAACCAGCACATCCAGGGCTTCCCAGTCACCAAACAAAGGAAACTGGACAGTTGGGAATGCAGTGAAGCTCAGGGCTGCCCTGTAATTCACCCAGGACTTGGGTTTATGGCTTCAGGAGAATTCCCTGAAGGAGAATGGTCATGAAGACTAAATCAGTTACCCTGTCAAACTGAAAAGAGGAACTTTAAACAGGAGAATTCCCATGTCCTGTGGGATTCTGAGCACTGGATTTTTACCCTGTGCAGTATCAGATGCCCAAAATGCCTGGATTGGATAAAAATCCATCAGTGCTTTTACGGCAGCTCACATTGCTGACGTGACCTGCACTGGTTGGGAATTGCCTCCATCACTGGAAGTGTTCAAGGCCAGGCTGGATGGGGCTCTGAGCAGCCTGATCTGGTGGGAGGTGTCTCTGCTCATGGCAGGGGGTGGAACTGGATGAGCTTTAAGGTCCCTTCCACCCCAAACCATTCTGGATTCCACAATGAAATGTTCACAGCAGCCTTAAAATGAAAGGGTTGTGCTCAGCTGTACCTCTGTAAATCTGGGATGGTGACAGCAGTCTGTAACTGGGAAAGTTCATGGCATTTGAGGATCTCCAGGATCTACAGGAAGCTGGAGGTTGCAAAGACATTGACAATTTTTTCCTGACACGCATTCTTCTGTGTGTTCTTTTTAATTGGGAAGTAATTGAGCAATTCTTTGTTGAGTTCCCATGCCACTTCATTAATTCAGCAGTAGTTCTACAGGAAGACAATGTCTGTGGGATGTTTTCAGGATGTCTCAACCTACCAGACATGGTTTTGATGATGGATTTAGTCACGATGCTGACATGCTCCTTCACTGTGGTTCTAATTGTTGTTTTAGAATGAATTGTGGTTAATTAGCAAACTGCTTGCAGCTCATGGAGTTTGTAGCAATATCAACAGTTGTGGTGTAAGGTGCAAACAGCTGGGGCTTTGCTGAGCTGCAGTTACCATTTTGAGCCATCAGAAAAGTTATTTGTCATAGCCAAATCTTTACATGTTCAACTGAAATAAGATAGAAAATCTTTAGTTTGACCAACCGTTTGACTTGTCATTAGACTTCCATGTAAAATCCGTGTCAGAAAAAGGGGATTGGAGATGCAGAGAGGCTGTGGTTGGGTGACTCCTCTTTTATTTGCTGGTCTGTGTAGTATAGCACTCACCCTGAGTGCAAGAAACCAAGTTTAAACCCCTCTGCTGCCTTAAAAGAGTTGAATAGCTAATACCCAGCACAAAGGTTAATTACTAATTGCTGCTTATTTGCTATATTTAGTATCCTTCATACTCTTTTTTCTTGTTGAGCTATGTAGCAGAGTACAAGTTAATTACCACAGGTTTTTTTCATGCTTTCAAGCACCATCTTTCCTCCATTCTCTGAGATGACAAAACCACATTTTGTGAGATGCTACTTTTATCATCTTGTTTGCAAAAGTACAGCAGTATTAAGCAGGTTTTCTCATGCCATATGTCAGTGTGGATCCCTTGCTGCTGGTGAAAAACAGACTGAGTAGCAGAAGTTGGGTATTCTGTCTTGGTATTTGTATGGAAGTGAAAGAAGAAGGTGCTTCACACTCATGTGAGCACAAGAGCCTTCTTTTAGATTTCCCTTTTAAATTCTGAGCTTCTGCATTGCTTAGAAAAGATGTTTTTCAGAGGACTTGGTGATCAGAGGGAGTACTGGAGTGGATCAGTTTTATGTGGTTTATGAAAGCTGCAGCTCACTTGTCTCTTATCCTTATGGGTGCCTTCCAGCTCAGGAAATTCTGTGATTCTGTGATTACCATTGCTTGTGCACTCCAGCTCCTGGAGTTTTCTCCAGCTCCTGGATAATAAGTTATTTTTTAGTGAATAATGAAAAGTGTCACGAGGAATTCCGCTACCAGCTTGGTGTGGTTTCAAACTGCTCCTGGCTTCCAGTGGTGCTGCTGCTTTAAGGTCCAGATTTACATATTTTGTGTTTGACAGATTTACAGGATATCTCACCTGCCTGTATAGGAAGATGGAGCATCCATGACAGGTTTAATGTCACTGGGCTACAAGGATTAATTGTCTCTCCTCCGCCCCAGCCTGCTCGTGAGGGGCTGGCAAGGTTCTGCTGGCTGAGCTGGAGGGGGTGTCACATCCAACACCTGCCTTTTGGGAGGATTAAACCAAGCTTTTGCAGCACTGTGTGGAGGAATCCTCACCTGGAGAAAGACCAGGAGCTGGAGCATCTCTCCAGGCTTCTGGTGCTGGAGGGTGGTGGGCAAAAAGGCGGCTGTCAGAGCACAAAGTGATGAAGTGCTGGCCAAAACTGGGCCCTCTGAAAGCATTCTGTTGTCACTTAATGAGTGTTCTCAAAGTCTCTGGAGTTCTTTGAGTAAACGGACACAGCTTTTCTCACACTTTCCTCACCTGGGGCTGGGGGAACTCAGGGTCAGCTCCAGGAAGGTGCAGGACTGTATCTGTTCCTGATTGTGCTCAGTGACATTATGTTACTTTGGCTTTGCCTTTTCCCACTCTTTTATTTTCTCTTTCCTTCAGCTCTGTGATGAGATGAGGGAGGGAAAAGCATTCTAGGCTGTTTGTGGGCTTTTTAAGTGACATGGAATTGCTGGCTGGTAACCTGTATGAAGCTTCTCAGTCACCTTAGACTTGATTTTCACAGCCTGCTGTTGTTCATGTCTGCAGAAATGAAGTTTCCAGCACTACAATAAATGTTACCTGAAATTTAGCCTTCTGAAGTGATAATATGTGCTAAGTGTGTGGATGGATACAGATATGTACAGATGTGAGGGCAGTATATCCCCACATATATTTACATGCAAACTATAGATCTAAATAAAATGTGAATTGACATATAATTTTAAAAATTGCTACAGAAAGAAAATAATTATCCTAATTATGTTTACATTGATATTATAGTTTCTCTAGTTAGAGAAATGTGTGTTTTTTACTTGGTTTTAGAGCTTTTGTCATCCAAAACTCAATCATTCTTTTTTCCCCTGAGGATGTTAAATCCCTTCTTTCACCAAGCCAGGAAAGGTTCCATTTATATAAGCAGGATCAGAGTTCACTGGGTATGCTTACTGCTGAATTAATAAATATTTAGGAAAATAAATAGGTGTGTCACAAGTGGTAAAATTGCTTTATGCACCAGAAGATGAGATTTAGCACAAATGGAGTGTTTTGTTTGCCCCACATCCCAGCAGCATTCAGACTCACTGTTTTGACTGCCTGATTTCAGATCTGTGCTCACAGCAAGATGGAAAGGGTTTTCATTTCAATGCTGAAGTCAATAATTATGGAGGTTATCATTTTCATGCTCAGAAATTCATGTCATTTTCATAAATCATTCATCTCATTTCATAAATCATGCTTTACAGCTGGAGAATGGAAACTTATTGCTGGACATTGATGAAAATCTTGTTTCAGTCACTCAGGTAAGGTTGTGACACTAAAAAATATTTTAAGGAAATATAGTTGAAATCATCTATAGGAATAGTGCAATTGGAAAATGTTCAGCTTGGGATTAACTTCACTGGAACGTGGCTAATATCAGATGTGAATAATCTTAATGAAGCATAAGGGGTGAAATCAGTTCTGCAGTGACAGTGAAATCACAGAAATAAAAGATAAGTGCTTGGTGTCCAGGATTTCATGTGCTGCAAGTAGATAAAGGCAGCTCTGTGTCAGAGAAGGTGCATTCATTTATTCAGACTGAGAACTGGGTTGTAGAAAAAAGACTCCTGAACCATTTGGGACTTCAAAATGCACCTCTAAGGGTTGCTGTTTAAAGCTCCAGTCAGTAAATGAAGGTGTTGTGTTCCCACTAAATTTGTGTTTACATTCTCTGATGTGGTTCTGTAGCTCCTGTTGTATATGAGGTTGATATTCTGTAAAAAAATAATTCCCCTGTAAATGTATTTCTTTTTCCTGGGGAATATTGTGAGTGAGGGTTTATTATAACAAAGTGCTGTTGACTTTCCTATCACTCTCTCCAGCTGCCTGTTTAGAAATGTGTCTGCAGAGCTTTAACAGAATTATATCTGTGAAGAATATCCAAAGATCCATCACCTTGAAGCACTCTGAAAAGTATTACTATTCCCATTATCCAGGAGTATGGAGGCACTGGCATCTGAGCTACCACCTTTCAGATGCATGTCATATAATCCAGAGTTCAAAAGTATACTGACTATCAATTTCCAGTATTCCTGGGAAACCTATACTATTTTTTCCACCAAAATATATATATATATATATATATATATATATATATATATAGCTTTGCACACAGCTGTGTGTACCCTGCCCTTTCCCATCCTCCCTGGCTTGCTCGTCTGCTCCCTTTTGCTCATGGAAAGGCCACAAATCCACAAATTTAGGTTCCTTAGGAGCAAACAGTGAATAATTCCCGAGGGGGGCAGGGGAAGGGCAGGTTTGGGGTGCTGCTAAACAAGCAGTTTGGAGAGGTGAGAAGAAAGTGGCTCTTGGAGTATTTCAGTGTCACCTGACACCTCTTGAGTCAGTAGTGCCTACAGGAGGCTTGAAGTGATTTCCAAATGAGTGCTGCTGTTGTCATTATTCCCACTTCCCTGAGCATTTTAACAACCCTTGCCTAATGTATTTGTGCACACTGCAGAAGGGACTTAGGCTGGGTTTGTTGCTTGTTTGGGTTTTTTTTGCAAAAGCTATTTAGAACTGGTGTACCCTGAAGAAAATGGGGCTTTCCCTCTTTTTCCCTTCTGCATTTCCATGTAGATACTTAAAGGGATTTATAAATGCATAAGAAGAAAATGCTTTGTCATAGCACTAAAGCAATGTGATCTTTTTAATATAAAATATGATGTGAGAAAATGTGAGATAAGTCATCCCTGGGTACATTGTGATGTGAAGCTGAGAATCAACAGAGCTGCTCAGACAAATTCCAGTTCTGACTGATTGTGGTTTTGCTTTTATGTGTGAGAATAGACACTGGATTGAAAAAAAAAAAAAAAGTATATAAACTTTTGATATGTGTAATCTTGCTCCTTAAGAGATAATTTTTAATGGAAGGTTAAAGGCAGGAAAATATCTTGGGGTGATCTTGATCTCTTGGAAGGCTGTAAAGCCTGACCTGCCAGTCTGGTTGCTGTCCAAAGCATTCAGGGGCTCCTTATGCAGGACAAAACTCAGCTGAATGTCAAACCTGTCTGTGTGACAGGAGGATCCAAGGTTTATGTGCCTAAGATGGGGAAGAGATTCAATGAGCTAAACTAAGATTTGCGTTAAATCTTGTTCATAATGAGAATTGTGCCTTCCCACTTTTTGTGGGTGTGATAGTGGGAAAGCCAGTAAGAAAGGTAATGAGAAGAGAAAGTTCTGGGTTCTCACCAAAGCTTTCCAGTATAACCACCCTGATAAGGATGGTGGATGGGGTTTAGGTTTCCTGCAGAGGAATCTTAGGGATCTGTGCTTTAACATCCCTGAACTCCAGCTGAACTCATTTGCAGGGGGGTGGAAGGGAGTAAAGTTGCTCTAGAACATGTGAAGGAGCTTTGATTATGCAGCCACTCAAGCTGCTTCTTATAATAAAATGTGTTTTCTTTTCTGGTCCAGTTAGCCAGGCCTGCATGGGTGACCTGTTTTGAGTTCCCAGTGAAGGGCATCCCAAGGAAACATTTCTAACAAGAATTAAATGTACAGCCACAAACTTGCAATAACCCAGTTGTGCATCCTCCTTCAAGTCCACTTATCCAGGTCACACCTGTCCCATGGGCAAGGGGAAATCAGGCAGTACTTTAAAAGCCCTTCCCTTCTGTATCTTGCTGGCACTCCACGTGCTGCTGCCATGCGGTAAGACCTTGGAGTGAGGGTTTAGAAGAGAAGCCAGGGAAAAGGACTGGCCATAAATCATGCTTGGAGCTCACTGATGTTAAAGGCAGAGCAGTAATGCATCCAATCCTGTTCTGGATAGTTGTTTCATGTTTTATTAATTCTTTTTCACTTTGGAGCATTCCCTACAGAATTGTTTTATAGTGAGTTGTTGGCTATTTGGGTGCATTAGCAATATTAAAATCCCACAGCTTGAGCCTGTGTGCTTCCTCCATGTGGGACTTCACAGTTGAAGCCTGCAGGACTTTGGGGAGGTTTATCTTGTTTGCTGTTACCATAGAACTTTACAAGTTGTAACTACTTGACTCATAGTTTCTTCTCCTCAAAAGATAAATGGATTTTTTTTTTCTCTTTACAGGCTGTTACCCAACTAGAGCTTTTTGGGGACATGTCCACTCCTCCTGATGTAACCTCTCCCCCAGTGAGTACCCAGGGAAGCTGCACTGTGTTTTTCCTGCGTGCTATTTTCAGCACATTTATTGAGCACATTTACAATTTGTGTCCTCAGCCGTTCAGTGGGGAAGACTTCAAAATAGTTTTTAGGTTGCAGGAAAATAAAAGTGAAGTAAATTGAACGTGCAGTCCCTGCTCCACAGTGATGTGCAAAAATACCTTTGATTTTTATTTTTCTGCTCTGGTGTTAAGTGTCACAGAGGGATGCAACCTGAGCTGCAGATCTGCTTCCCTGGTGTTTGTCAGAGGGAAATGCTTCACTGCACTCTCACTGCACTGCAGAAGATCCACTTACAGCTTCATATTTTATGTCTCTGGATCCACCAAGCAGAGATCCCAGAACTGCTGTTAAAGGAGGAAAATAAAGACAGAGAGAAAGGGCTGGATGTCTTTTAAGGGCAAAAAATAATGTCTCAACATGTTTTGCAGCATTATAAGATGACAAAAAATTCTCATATAAAGCTTTAGAGCCTTGCATTAAGCTGTAGGGAAGTGTGAATATACTGAGAAAATTCAGGTGCTGCTGTGAGGTCAGGAGCCTCAGATCTCCAGTATATTCTGGATCATGTCTGGGACTAGATGTTCAAAGCCCTTTCTGCTCATCCTCAGCTTACTCAATTGGATTTGGCTTCTTCTTTAATGTAGACCTATGATTCTGGTCCTAATGGTTAATTAGAAGCAATATTTATTCAGTTTTCCTTAAATCCTGTAGGTATTTCATTTACCTTAACTGTTAATAATAACTTAAAAGTTAATGCCTTGGTCACTGCCTTTCCCTTTTGTCACCTAATAGCTAAAACCACAAGTCTGTATGTTCTGGAGAAAGAAATTATGTCAGTATTTTGGTTGTGATATATTCCAGGCAAATTTCACCTTTATTTTCTTCCTCTGATAGAAAATTGCTCCATTTCTTTCTTTTTCTCCCATCCCCAGCAAATTCCAATACTTTTATTTCTATTGCTTCTTTCCTTCTACATCTTCCCATTCTTTCTTCTTCTTTCTTGTTCTTCACTCCAAGGCTGGATTTTTAGAGCTCCAGGTGATGTGACAGCAGAGTGCAGCAGAAGCTGCAGCTGATACCTCACCCTTGTGTTTTCTGCCTGTCTCCCTGCAGACTCCTGCTACTCCAGGTGATGCCTTTATCCCATCTTCATCCCAGTCACTCCCTGCTAGTACAGACATGTTTGGCTCTGTACCTTTCAGCACTGCTGCCGTACCCTCAGGTAAGGAATGCTCTGGAATTAAAGTCTGGAATCAGATCTGGGGATCAGTGCCCAGCTCTGGTTTGCATTTCAGTACTCAGGGCGTTGATTTTAGCAGGGTGGAAGTGGGGAAGGCTTTTGAGATCAGTGCTTCAGGGCAAGGCAAAGCAAGCAGGGAGTACATTCGTTTGAATTTGCCTACATTTTTTAAAGCAGAAGCCAAAAAAGTCGCTGGTAGTTCAAGCATAGTTCAGCCATCTGGATAACAGAACTTCTAGGTACAGGAGAAAGAGAGGAAACAGCATTTAGTTTAAGTGTTGGGGGTTCTGTGGTAGCAGTGAATATCCTCTGCTGTCTCCAGTAAACAGGCTGAGAATTTGATTGCACTTCAAATGTATTCCACTTTGTCAAATCCTGGAATGTCCTCTAGACTTCCCTGGATTCCTCAGAGTGCTCAGAATTCAAAAGCTGGGTGCATTCTGCACAGACACTCTGGTTTGATGGCTGATCTCTCCCAGTGCTCTCAGCCCCACTTAGGAAAGGGAAGGAGGATGAGGAGGAGGAGGAGTGCCTTGAATCATTCAGCAGTGACTTTCTAATTGGTTGCCTCCTCTGATGGCACCAGATTAGCCACTGCACCTCAGGCAGGTTACAGGGGCAGTGAAGTGTTTGGGGATATTGTCAGATGGAAACCTTCTCTGGGGTCACCATGAGGGTGAGATCATCTGGAAAATCCATCCTGGACATCTGTTGGAACAGAAATGTATCTGAGCTGCTGCATGTCAGATGGAAACCTTCTCTGCTGGGTTGGGGTCACCATGGGGGTGAGATCATCTGGAGAATCCATCCTGGACATCTGTTGGAACAGAAATGTATCTGAGCTGCTGCTCCTTCCAACACTCAGGAGCTGAGTCTCTCAAAGTTCAGTTCCTTATTTTTGCATTTTATTGAGTTTTGGGCTTTTCCCTATACAATATAGCAGGCACTCTTATGTTTGTGATTACAAAACAGCCTAGAGAAAAAGGTACAGGAGGATTGGGGAAACACTCAGGTTGGAAACAAGAGTTTTAAAGCTATGACACTATTAAAATTGAGAGAGAAGTTACATTATGCAAAGTATTAGTGGTAAGTATTGAATTTAAATGTGAAACAGCATATCTGTAAAGCACAGTACTTGTATCAGTGGAACATAATTATGTTAGGTAGTTTAATTTGTAAAATGTTTTACAGGAGTTTTAGTTTCAGAGCACTTTGTTGTTGTTGTAAATAAAAAAGCACCTGATCCTATAATTCCTACCCAGTCAAACTCTTGGTAGCTTTAAAGGAGGCTTCAGGTCTGACAGGAAGCAATTATAATTTTGGATTTAATCACTAATTTCCTCCTCAGCTGGAGGGGGTTATGTTAGCCTAATACTTGAAGCAGTTTGTTGTTAATAGGTATTTAGTGCAGCAGAAGCTCAGGATCTTTTTGATGTTCTCAAGTAATTGGGTAATAACCAAGTGTGAGGATTTTAATCTGAAATCATCTGAGTTGGATTTCTTTATTATTAGTAGTAGTAGCAGCATGAGATGATTGCTTTGCAGAGTCCACCAGCCTGTGGTTCTGTCTGTGAGTACTTGTGCAGTGATGCAAATTCAGTGTTCTCAGTTTTCTTTCCAAGTGTGCTGCAGCCAGGTTCACTGGTGCAGCTCTGCACGTTTCTGATTTACTGCGTCGCTTTTCCCGCGTGCAATTCAAACCTTCCATCCCGTTTGTTTCCCCCCTCCTGCTCTCTTTGTTCCCCAAAGGTTATGTTGCCATGGGAGCTGTCCTGCCCTCCTTCTGGGGACAGCAACCACTTGTTCAACAGCAGTTGGCCATGGGTGCCCAGCCTCCAGTCGCTCAGGTGATGCAGGGAGGACAGCCCATCGCGTGGGGCCAGCCCGGCATCTTTCCTCCCACCCAGCAGCCGTGGCCATCCGTGGCTGGCCAGTTCCAGCCCACTGCCTTCATGCCAACACAAACTGTTTTGCCTTTACAAGCAGCCATGTTTCAAGGTACCATTGCTCCTATAGCCACCGTCCCACCCACGAGCGATTCCAACAGATCGAGTCCGCAGACAGACAGGCCCAGACAGAAAATGGGAAAAGAAATGTTTAAAGATTTCCAGATGGCTCAGCCTCCACCAGTGCCATCAAGAAAACCAGATCAGCCTTCCCTCAGTTGTACCTCAGAGGCCTTCTCAAGTTACTTTAACAAAGTTGGGATGGCACAGGAAGCAGATGATTGTGATGACTTTGACATCTCTCAGTTAAATTTGACTCCTGTGACTTCCACAACACCATCTACAAATTCACGTGAGTATTTATGTGCTTTCAGCCATCCCTTTCCTCAGACATGACTGCTCCTCAAAGCACTTCTGTCTCTTTTTAAATTCCAACCCAGATACTGAGAACCTTCATGCATGCTCTGGCTTAAGAAATATGTTCCAGCCATAAAGGAAAATACCATAGAGGAATTTCAGAGGTCATAGAAATGAACAGCACAGACAGCTACAGTCTGAAATTTAATTTCTAAAATTAAATGTTACAATATTTGTTTTGCGATGTGAACATGCAAGCTGTTTGGCAGAAGCCCACGGCATTCAACCTTACAACTGGTTTCACTTATGTCCCATCCATATTTCTCAGAAATTAGGGGATGGGTATTTATTTTAGTAGCTTGACATATTGGACACATGGGGAAATTGATTGGAGAGCTGTAAAATCAGCTTATGGTGTTCATAGCATGGCAGTGGGGGATTTTCTCTTTTCAGCAGATTGCTGAAAAGTGGAATTCATGAGATTCACCAGAGGTCAGTCAGAGACCCGTTTCACTTACCTGTCACAGGGCAGGTGACTCACACATTCCTATTGTAATGGAGTGGTGTCTCCCACCTTCATAAAGACATAGGCCAGATGCAGCCAAACTTAATTTGGAAGTTGCCAAGTGACGTCAAACACAGGGGATTGATAATGACAACTGTGCCCAAATTTAACTCCTGCAGCTCCTTGTTAGAGAATGATTCTCAGGGGTGGTGAAAGTTGAGGGATGTAAAAGTGTGAGCAAATTTTGTGCTGAAGTGTCTTTTTGAAGAAATCAGCAGAATAATTGTTGCTGTTGCCTTAATCCTTGTTTAGCTCCAACCCCTGCACCCAGACAGAGTTCTCCATCAAAATCATCAGCATCTCATACGAGTGACCCTGCTGCAGATGACCTCTTTGAAGAGGGGTTTGAAAGCCCAAGCAAAAGTGAGGAGCCAGAGGCTGTGAGTAGCAAGAAGGTTTCTAAATCTTCATTGTCTCCTTTTAACTAGAAAAGAGAAAAGCTGATAAAGTGTTGTTCTGTAGTGTCAGAAACAACTTTTCCAGTAGGGCTGGGTGGTAGAGCTTGTGGGGGAGCTGCAGCCAGAATTCCTGTCCTGCTTTGGGTTTGACAGCTGATAGCACAGCATTTCTGCTGATGTGCACTAACAGTACATACAAGGAACCAAACTCACAGTTCATATGTAAAGCTGTACATGTTAGATGTATCCAATGCCCTCTTTAGCACACCAGCAGTCACTTTACTCATGGTAAGGAAGTTTGGGGTAAAACAACAAACATGCTGAGGCAGCAGAGAAAGATGTGAGGTTTGTGTGTTAAAAGATGATGGTTGGTGTTGTCTTGCACATTCTTGCATCCCAGTTGCTTGCCTAGCTACGTTCCTCAATGTTCTGGCCCTCAGTTTGTGATTTCCTTACCTTTATGGACCAAAGCAAGAAATGTTATCCAAGCAATGACTGTCAATCACCAGGTGTCTTAGGGAGGGAGGAGCCCGAGTGAGCCAAAGGCAAGAGGGTGTCGGTGCAACAAAAAGTGCAAAATAACCCAAGCTTGGACTCTTTCTGTTTCACATGGCTTTCAGGGCCTTTTGCAGTTCTGGTTGGCCTGATCCAGTACCTTCTGAAGCCTGTGGCAGCTCCTGCCTGGGCTCCAGCAGGAACTGGTGAGGTCCTTTGGTGCCTGCAGCAGCTGTAGGAAACCGCTACAGCTTTGGAGAGCGGCGAGGCCTCACTCTCTGGTTTTCATGAGATAGGATGTACTTGTTATGCCCACAGCATGAAAATAACCTCGTGTTGACTTTTCACTTTCTATTGTTGAGAAAAAAAGGTGTTATGTTCTTGTATTCTAGCCTGATGGGTCTCAGGCCTCCTCCAACAGTGATCCCTTTGGTGAGCCAACTGGTGATACTATAAGTCCACAGGTCGGTAGCTAGATAGCACAGGTTGGGGTAGGTATCTGTCCTTTTTTTCTCTACACCTTGAGGTGTTCACTTACTCTTCCACCAGTGCCTGCCATTGCTTTCATGGATGCATGGTTTATTTTTTCTTTTTTCCTTTTCATCTCTTCTGTTTTACCTCTCCATCCTCCGCAGTGTATTCCTTGTGCTTGGTGGTTTGCATGGCTTTTGCCATTCACTGAGTGTTGCAGCTTATGCAAATATGTGTGTTTCAGCTGCCTGCATGCTTTAAAGAAATGTAGACTTATTTTACTTTGTGTTCACATTCTGAGGGCAAGTAGGGAAACTGAGCCATTATTAACAACATAATAGGCAGAGCATTTTTTTTTTATCAAAGCCACCCTGGCCTTCAGTCAGATGTAACATATTAAATGGAATAAGACATCTTACCCATAGACATAACAATCATTAAATAAAATTATGTAATGATACATGAATGTCTCTACCCTAAATCAATGGGATAATCAGTAGAAGAAGCACGTTTATTATCTGCATGTAAAAAATATTGAAATGGGTTTGTGTATTTTTTATCTCCAACTGCAAATTAAAAACATCTGAAAATTATCATCATTCATATTACCATTGGCATACTGATGTTTTAAAAATTATTCATCAATGTAAGTGATTTAAACCCAGACAGACGGGAAAGATGATCTGTTCATCTTTTGTGTTACAGAACACGTAGAAAATGTGGCTGCCTGTGAATGTTCTGTGATTTGTTTCAATACAGTAAATATATTTTGCCAAAAAAACAGTGAGGCTACAAAGTTTATGAGTGCTGAGTGTTGTTATTCCATCCAAATACTCTCTAGTGTTGCTGTTTGAAGAATATGTTTCATTATCTTCTCCCCGTCTGCCACTCCTGTTTGGTATTGCCCAAATACATGATCTGATACGGCTTCTGTGCTCCAGCATAGAGCTCCTGGAGCAAATCCAGAGCAGTGGTAGAACCCTTCCTATTTTTGTACAGAAATTCCTCTGGGTTTGCCAGTGACTTACCCATCCTCGGTTTAGTTTCAGCTCAAAATTAATAGTTTCATTAGGAGTCAGTTTACTTTGTGCATTAAATATGATTTTACAAAACCTTACAGTAACTTAGCTTTGATCCACTTGGGAATAATGAGGTTCTCTCTTAATAACGTGTGGTGCTGTGAGAGGGCATCTCCCTCTTCTGTAGCTTCACCCATGCTCAGCTCCTGGGCTGCAGCAAGAGCAGCATTAAGCTTTGTGTCTCCTTGAGTCCAGGAGTGACAGTGTGAGGAGAAAGTCAAGCTGGGATGAGCTGCTCCAGCAAGAACATTCATTATTTACTCCAGTGAGAGCTGCTGCTGCAGATGGATGGTGCCACTTGATAATTTGGCTGTGCCTTTGCCTGACCTTGGCCAGCACTGACATCCCCAGCTATCCCAGCTTCAGACCACTCCAAGAGTTCTTCCCTACATCATGAAAGAGAATTTGCCCTTTATCTGAGTCCCACACTCTGGAAACCCACATACATCTGTTTATTATGGTTTATCACAGGGTGGTTCTGCAATTCAGAGCTACCAGGACAGTGTATTACCAGTGCTTACATATGGTTTTGCTGCATTTTTAGTTAATCCCTGTACAGCCTCGCATCAAATATGTATAATTCCCAGAAATATATGCTGGGAAATGTTAACTAATGTTCCTGATTATCGTATTACAGTAATTCCTGAGAGCTGTAGGCAGGAACAGGAAGCTGAACAAAAAAGCAAGCCTCTCTCCAGTGAAGTTCCACTAATATCATTGTCCCTGTGTGCAGAGCCATTCAGCAGCAGTCTGTAGGAAATCCACTTCCCAAGGCCAGCCCAGCTAATTCTGAAGCCTGGTGTCGTCAGAGCAACTGGAAGTCTAATCTCCATGGAAAATTATCAATTCAGGAGTTACTGTGGAGTTGTGTATTGAGCTCTGCATTTGGAGAGAAACTTAATGGGGAGAAACATGTTGTGCAAAAGAATCACAGTCTGCATAAAAGCCACTTTTGTGGCTTAGATGGGAGATTACTTGGCTCTTTAGAATGTGGTTCTTACCCCAAGAACTGCACAGTAACAACTCAGCTGAATGGACCTCTCAGGAGAGCATTGTGTGCAGAAATATCAAATCTGTCTGTTCCCAGATCTCTGAAATCAGCTCTGCCCATACCATATCTTTATTTATCTTGATGTATTCAGAATATCCACCTGCCTGGTTTTTTGTACTCTGATCTTTCAAGGTACCACATCAGTTTGGTTTCTTGATTCCTTCTGATACTCTAAATTATCATCTAGTTACTATCTTCTTTTCTCCTATTTTTCCTCTCTTCCTTTTGCAATCTTCCACTTCAGCTCTCAAAATCCTCATCCTTCCAGAAGCAGCTGTTTCTAGAAGTCACCCTTCCAGAAAAAGCTGTGAACTCTTAGTAGGTAAATGTGACATTTTATGGATATATTACATTTTTGTCTCTTTATGGTTAAAGATAAGAAGCAGAAAGGCCCAACTTCCACAGGCGAAATAAGATTAACTCTTTGCAGAGCTGTTTGTTGTATTTGGTTGTTTCCCCTTTGTTCATGCATGCTGTTGAGGACAGATAATGATTTTGCAGAAGAGGTGAAGAGAATACAGAATGACTGCCACCTTCAGATTATTTATGTTTAATCCCCACTGCTGTCTTCAGATTATGTGGGGAGTAATTGTGGTGAAAGGAGAGAGGGGGAAAGAACTGTTTCTTAGCTGTGAGCCTACCAAATGTCTTAAACATTTCTTATTGTTGACATTTTACATTAAAGCAGGGAGTCTGAACAGAGGAACAAACACAGCTCTATTGAGCTGCTGCCCAGCTCAAAACTTGAACTGGCAATCATTCATGAGAGATTCTCAAGAAACCTTCAAAACATTTGTGGCTAGAGCATATCTCCCTGAAAAAAAATTCTTCAGTTGTTCTGAGAAATGTGTGCAGACAATGAGGAGCCCTCAAAACGTGTCACACCCTTCACAATGCCATCAGCACTGTCAGGAGAGCAACAGTCCATTAGAATATTTGTCTATCAGCTTTTGGTGGTGCTTTGGTGGCCCACTGCCATCATCCATCTTGGAGCAAGTGCTGTGCTCGGTGATAAATGTTCCTAAAAATCTTAGTCAGCTCCGGGATGGGCTGCTGTAACTCTTTTATTTGGGCTGATTTTAGGAATTGGAGAGAGAAAGCAATTTATGGACAAAGCCTTGTGTTACCTGGGAGCTTAGTGAGCCTCAGGAGGGAACATCAAGCTGATTGTGCATTCTCCTCTTACTTCTGCCCCTTTTCTGTTGCACCAGGACTCCAAATAGGTCCAAAATACTAAAGACTGTATTTGCAGGACTCTTCCAGTCTTTCACCTGTCTCAGTCAGAACTGGATAAAGTCCAAAGAGAAATTCCTAATTACAGGTGACCTGTTCTTGCTGTAGGCTCTAAAGCCGTAATTTTCTAACTGAAGACTGAGCAGGGCTGGGAACCTGAGAGAAGTAGTGTTGTGTCTTTGGAAGGTGATCACAGATTGGGATATCCTGCTTCACTCCAGAGAAATCTTAAAATTAACATTTCAGGTCTCGTGCCCAGTTGGTTGTTCCTATTTCCCAGAAATATGGAGGGTCATGAGCAGAGAAATTCAGGCTGCTCTGTGAGCAGGGGCATCCTGTTTGTCCTCATCTCTGCTGCTGCAGTCTCCTTCAAGCTGTCCATTTTCATGTGCCAGCTCATACAAGGGCCTCTCAGCTCTTCAGTGTCACCAGCCCACCTGAGGTCACCTTGTACTCTTCCATTTCTGCAACTTCCTCCTCTAAACAAGAGACAGTGTTCTTTGTAGCTTGTCTAGAACTGTGTTCTTGTTGATTTGCAACCCAACAATTCATTTAGGGACAAGCTCTCCTCACTTCCTCTGTGATGAGGTCATGCCTGTCTTCTGCACGACAACTGATTCTAAAAATCTACTTGTGAAAATTTAGCATCTTTGAGACTTCTGAACAATTTGCTTCAAATTGGCCATTAAGTTCGATTGTTATGAAGGAGAATTGACAGATATGTAGATGGGAGGATGTGTGGATGACAGATCTGTAGATGGAAATAATTGTGTGGCTACTGTTTTGGGAGAGGGGCCCAGAAATAATCAGTGTTTCTTGGCTGCAGTTCATTTTTATATCAGGACTAAGATATGGAGCAGGTTAATCTTTCTGAGTAGTTGTCACTGCATTTTCATTTCATGGATGTACAGCATCCATCTTGCTACTAAAACAACAGAGATTTTTAGAATGCTAATAATTAAACTGGATATTTAAGACAAGGAGATATTCCTAGGTAGGTTTATGTTAAGAACAGAGGCACTCTTCAGGCATAATCCTGAACTAGAAGGTCGCTGTATTTATGCTGCTAATGGAGGCTGTAAGAAAAACAACCAAATATTAATGAGTAATAATAAGCAATAAATAAAAACTGGCTGTTAATGGGGCAGTAGGAATGAGCTATCTTATCACCAAAGATATTTAATTTCAACCCTGCTTGCCAACTTTACTCTGTCCTATTTTGCCTACGGGTCAGCATGCAAAAAAACAGAGAAGGCGCTTTGCACTCCCACCCCCTTCACTTGCAACCCCAGCACAAGATGCTCATTTTGTGTGGCTCTCCAGCACACTTATTTCATGAAACTCTTTATCATTTGAGCCTGCCCTTTCTGATCAGTCAGCCAGGATAAAAGTGGCTGTAAAGGGTATGGAAATCTGTGCGGGCCTCACCTCCTCAATTGAGAGCATCTTGCCTGCAGCTCTGCACAGAGCAGGTGCCTCGCAGTGATCAAAGTGCTGCCAGGGTAAAAATAGTTTCTTCCTAACCCACAGTTATGTTTTCTGAGTGAGTTCACCCCTGCAAGCCCGAGTGGGTGCTGAGTCTTTCAGGAGATGCTCTCCAGTGATTAGTTCTGCTGGGGAGCAGGTGTTAATATCTTCAAATGGGATGCAAATTCACTTCTAGCATTTGCATAATGTTATTCCTAAAGCGTTAGCACCCTTGTTGCCTCACACAGTAGTGGACTGCATCAGAAATGGTGTTTGCTGCTGTCTTGTCCCTCTTAAAATGGGAAGGATAAAGTGATTTGCAGCATGAAGTATTTCTGGAATACAGCAGCAAAAAAAAAGTGCTTCCAGTTCTTGTCTTGGTTTCTCCCTGTGGGTTGATGAAAGCACCTCAGAAGTGATTCTGGGCCAGTACAGCAAGGAGAACACTGTAAGATTTGAGTTTATATGAATTAGAAGCTTTGTCTGTTATTTTGTTTGTTCCTCTCTTTTTGTTCTGACAAAGACCAATTCTTTCCTTTCCTTCCCTCTGCATCTGTTCCTAATGCAGTGGTAGAAGGCAGAAAATGCTGGTGAGATGCTGTGAGAAGAGTTAATGCTCACCTGCCTTTTCATAACAAGCCCTGTGACTTTTGTGTGGATTATGTAAAAAAGGGGGCTTATTTCTGCTTTCAAGACCCTCCAAAATAGTGCCTGTCACTGTGAGAGGAGCTGTCCATGAAGTCAACAGCACTCAACTCTCCTTTTGCCTTTTTCCTGTCCCTTTCTGCTGTCTTTTGCCCTCTTGAGTATCAATATTTTACAGACACCATTTGCATTGTTGGGCTAAAAGCATGCTTGAATTGGCTCAAAATAATACTAGAAAACAAATCTCAGGCATTGACCAAAACCCTTTGACTGGGAAGACTGCACACAATTACTGCAATTAATTTCTCATTTAGGCATCTGAAGGGAGAAATCAACAGAAAGGAAGAAGCAAGAGCGCACTTTTCATGCAAAATGCTCTGGTCTGCTGGAAGAGAAATTATTCAAATCAGTGAGAAATGCAGGCCTTTGCCACATCAAGTGTTTGTACAGATAAATGTTGGGTATGAATCAAAGAAGTTTCTCACTGTAATGGCTGTCTCATGCTTGTTGGAAGTGCTGCTGCCGATGAGGAGCTTCTCCTCCTCCTCTTCCAAGGGTGTGGAGTCCAGTGGCACCTTAGGACACCTGTTACTTCAGCACTTCTGCATATCTGAAGGATATTTGAGGACAGCTCTAACAAGCAGACTTGACATTTTGAAAAGCTCTTTTTTCCCCTGGAGGCGTTTGAAAAACTGACATCTTTTGTTCCAAAGGGATGTCCTCCCTCCCTCTCCTTTTCTTCTTCTCCTTCCTTTTCACTTCCCTTTGCAATGACCTTAGGTTCAGCAACTGCCTGAAGAATGGCCTGGTGTGTGTCAGGTTCACACATTAATTAGTACAGATTTTCTCTGAACTAGCTGTGATAGATCATTCTGCCAGCTTCAAGCCTGCACGTGAAAATTGGCATAGGTAGACTTAACTCACAGTGTGTGAAAAGCAGTTATTTACTCTCAGTCATCTCCTTTGATTACCTTCAGTTTTTCAAGGTCACAAAATATATTTGCTTCTTGCTGGGGATAATTTCAGCAGCATTTATTTAATCATTCCAGAGGGTTTTTCTCACTCACAGTGCTCATAGTGTACTCAGGGCTCCTCGTGGGCAGGGGGTGGGGAAGCAGGGTGTCTGCAAGCTCCAGAAATGCAGCAGTTTTGGGGAATAAGAGACAACTTTCCTTGGCATGGAGGAAACAGGTTGTATTTTGGATTTGTTGTGTGTTCCTGCACCCTAAGGCAGGACAGGGCAGAGCTGGAGCACTGGCCAGGCACCCTGAGCACAGAACACCCTGTGCATCCACACTGGGGCTGTTCTCCTCATCCCCAGCGTCACTTTGACAAACAGTAATTAAAATCCTGTGCCATCCCCTGGCACAGGTCTATCTGTGCTGCTCAGTGCCCAGTGATTTGCCAACCTTCTGGGGTTTTTTTTTGCTCAAAAGTCACCTCGTACCAATGCTGCTGTAACACAAGTTCATTCTACTTTGGTTAAATTCAACGTGTGGCGTGGTATTTGAATATTTATCAAGCTGTGGAGAGTTAATGCAGTGTGGCATTAATTAGCCTTTCTGCCTGTCTTGTTCTGTTTTTAGATGTCATTCTTAGTTTAATAAATTAGTTTCTGGAAATGAAGTAGAGTGGATTTCAGGGTCCACAGATGATTTGCTACCCAACTTGGCCAAGATGAACACAGTGTTAAGAAAGCTTAAGGTGTGTCATCTATGAAGCAACAGCTGAAGAACATGGCAGCTTTTCCCCCTCCCACATCCAGGAAATTCCCAAGAAAGTATCTGTTAACCAGTTGACATGCTTTCCTCCCAGCTTTAATGATTGTACTAATGGTTCCACAGACTCCTAATCGAACTGCACAGGGCTCCTCGTTCTTCATGGGCCACTCATGTTGTTGTTTTAAATCCCATCACAGCTTCATTAGCTCAGCTTTCCGTGGCAGTTTCTGTTTGCAAGTGGTTTTCTCCTGAGCTGTGCAAAACCCACAGTTATGTTCTGCTGTTGTGCTGCTGGGGGAAAACTCAGCCTTGTACACGGGCTGCAATTCCAGTTCTGAACTTCCAAAGCCCTATAAATTATCATGTAATTCCTTCATATGTCCGTGCCCAGCAGTGAGGGTCAGTGCGTGGCCAATGCTGGAGGAGGAAATGGATAGAAAACACTCATTTTCTGAAATAATTCCCATTTTCTTCACCACTCAGCCGGGGTGCCACGATCGCTCAAGGCAGCACAGAAAGCAAACACTTCCTGTGGGTTTTGACTCACAAGGTATCGCTGCTCTCAAGCAGATGTTGTAAAAATGTTCTGAAAATGCTGTCTGGAGACATCTCTGCTCATTTTATTTTTGTTATCCCCAGGAAGCAGAGCCTCTCTACGCGCAGATTAACAGACCTAAGAAATAGCATTGTTACAGGCTTGTGGTGCTCCAAGACTCAAACGAAACCCAACAACCTGGCGGGCCTTTGGCTTTCATGCTTTTTTCCGATTGATTTTGTCTGACAAAGGAGAGAGTTTGCCCTCCTGGACTGGCTCTACGAGTGTTCCTGATGTGGTTTTTTGGCAACCAATGGCAGATTCCTATGGCAGCACAAAACAAAAACTCTCCCTGCTTCTCATACCACGAGTGCAGCGCCGTCCCCACAAGTGGTGGGTATCCAGACTAGGAAATCCTGCTCCTCGGTCTTCTTTTAAACATTTCTGTGTGCCACCTATAAATAACGAGCATCTGAAATTTATTGGGCGTTAGACATTCCTTTTTTTGTTCTTTTCAGCAAAAAGCAGAGTCTGTATGTAGCAGTGCATTATCATTCAACAGCCTTTGGGGCATGAATTGGCACTTTTTATGTCACGGTGACATGTTTTTCATCTTCATTTACATCAGGCTGATCCTGACCCTTTTTTTTTCCCTATGTAGACATATTTAAACAACAACAAAATACTGGTGGTGTCTTTTTTTTTTTTTTCTTTTTCTTTTTTTTTTTTTTTTAATGTATTTCTTACTCTGTAGTTTTGTATGAGTGACAGATCTAACAGCAAAACGCCTCCTGTGGAAATGATTCCCAACTTGAAACCACAGAACGGAACTCGGCTGTTTATCCATCCTTGACTGAAAATGTTGCCAAATGGACCTTTAAGTTCTAGCACATCATGAGGAAGAAATGCTGCTTTCTGTTGGGATACTCATGTTGTGGGTAGAGAAAGGACATTGAGTCCCACTGAGGAAAGACAAAAGAGTCAGTATTTCCTAGGAAACTCTAAACAAAGTGCAGAAAAGGAATATTTTTATTTCTTCAATATCTTGCTGCTGTAATGCTATGCAGACAAGTGTTTTCTTCTCTGTGTGCCATTCTTGATGAAAAAAAAAATCATTTGCCAAATAATACTGGTATGCTTCTGGTTTAGGAGTTTGGATGAAGCGGACTTGACAAATGGGACAAGGACGGCATGGATTTTGGAATAACAAACTGACTCTGTGATCAAAATTGTTCATCTTTATCACTTTTTGTACATCAGAAAAAAATCAAATGGGATTTTTATTTTATAACTTGAAAAAAAAATCTTACTGTTAAACTCTTTAAATGTTTAAGGGGAAATGGCTTTAAGGAGTTCGAATGAAAATTGCCATTTTTTTTTTGTAAATATAAATGTTATGAAAATTCTTTTACTAATGCCATTACACAGTAGGGAAGGTAGCAAGTTGCAGTGCTTGGGAGGTGTGGCAAACCCAGTTTGTGGTTCTCACATCACATATGTTTTTTCACATGCTTAACAATAATGGGCTGAAGCTCAAGTGCATTTGCCAAAAGCAGTCAGCTTGTCAGCAACTAGTGAAATTAATGGGAACACATGATTTTATGGTCCAGCATTATCACACGGACATAATTCCACTTACAACAGATCACTTTCCATTGACATTCCTTTGAACCTCTGCATAGAAGTCATCCAACTGTTTACACGCAGAACAAAAAGAATTTAAAACTTCCTTTTTTTACATTTATGAAGCAAAAAGTGCAGTGTTTGGGTTCATATGTTTAGCACATGATTTTCATAAAGAATCTATATATTTTTGCCCTACAGAGAATTGTTATACAGGTCAAATGTGTTTTCCTGATGTTCCTATGCAGTTACAGTATATTGAATTTAGTGGTTTAACACTAAAAAGAAAAAAAAAAAGAAGAAAAAAAAAGAAAAAAAGGTAAAAGAAATCAGAGGATTAATCAGTTTTTAGGGTTATTGTGCGGATTTTGTTTTTAAATTGACACATTAGGATTTACATTTTTGTCATGATTAAAATAGGCCTGGAGTTATAAATGTTTTACTTTCTTTCATCTCTGTTATAAGCTAAAAATGGTTTAGAAGGCAGAATAACTGGGGTGGTGATTGTTGGTATCCAAATCTCACAACATGATCCATTCTTTCATTTTGAATTAGAGAAATTAGAGAAATGTGCGTTGCAGAATGTATGTGAATGAGAAATTAGCTGTGAATAGACCTAATGAACCTGCAGAGAGGAGAATTTTACCCCCATCCATGGTCATTTGATGCTTGTTCCTTAGTCATGTGCAAGCAGCTTTGTAGCAAATCTTGTTTCCCCATTGGAAGATCAAGTTTTCTAACTAGAGGAGATAGTTTAAAACTTGGTGGATCGAGTGTTTCAGGATTAAAAGCAGAGGTAAAAGCGTTTCTGGAGGACACTTCTATCAGAGTATTTTCCTGATTTGCACAGTGGTGCTACTTTCTTCCTCAGCGGCTTTTTTTTTTGGGTTTTGTCCTGCACATGGAACCACAAACCCAGTTTTGGTTCATCACAGACATTGGAGGTTTAGTGTCATCAGTGCATTTCTAGTTACGGGGTGAAACACAGAGGAGAGAAGAGCTTGATGTCTCAGAGGATCACATTTGTAGCAAGCAGATCACTCACAAATGGGTGCTGAGGGAACGAGGCTGGAATTCTGGTGTCTCTGGGCCACCACCACGGACCTTTGTCTTACTTTTGCTCATGAATAAAAACAGATTCTGGATTGTCTCGTCCTGTGATCGTCCTTGTCGTGGCTGGGATGCTGAGCTGAGAGGGCTGCAGGGCCTCTGCACTGTACCAGTATTGTAGATAACTCAAATATCCAGCTTGTGCAATTGTTTAATCCCTCATCCTTCACTAGCACTAAATTCGTCACTTTAAATTTACAAACCAGGGAACCCCACCAGCCATCCTGTTACCATCCCCACCACGTAGGTTCTTGATCTTTACCTGTCATGAAAAGATATTTTGATAGATCGTAGTCATCCAAGTGTCTGATGAAACCTTTCATCTCAATAACGTACTGGGCACCTTCTTTGCAAAAATGTTTACTCCGTGGTTTTCATTCATTTTTATTTCTGCATTCTGACACTTATTTTTTTAATAAAGATGAGAAAGATAAAATGACTGTTGCAGTACATTTCTAAACCTACTTTAACTTTACCTCAGATAACAACCATTTGTTAACATATACGGACACATTATTTTTAACTTTATGTGTAATGCATTCAGCAACAACAACAGAAACCAACCAATTTTTAGAGATTTTCCATTAATTTCTGTAACACACCATGTAATACTGTTATGAATAAAAACATTAAAAAAAGGTGTCATTTCAGTAAGTTTGTTTCATAGCTTGTGCTCCTCTGGGATAATTCTGCCAGACTTAAAAGTGTAGTGTTTGTGTCTGCCATGGCCTTTATTTTTTAACAGTGGAAATACCTGGGAAAAAAAATCCTCAGTTTGGGGAAATAACTAATCTTTAACACCAAGTGTTGCTTATCTTGCAAATGTGTAACTTGCTGATTTTAATTGCTGCCTCCACTTTTTTGGCCTCTTTTTGGGTGTTTTAGGATGAGCATCCCAAACCAGCAGGTATTTGTATCACCTCCTGCAAAATCCCACATTCCTGGGACAGCCCATGCTGTGATGCTCCCAAAGCTGGATTATCCTTGTGGCATGAAAAGCTGAGATTAATTTTGCTCACTTTTTTCATTCAAGTGGGATTTGAAATTAAAGATGTGCATTTAAACATGACAGTTTTGAAAGCAGAATCCCCCCCCCCCCAAAATTTCCAGTAATGTGCACAGAACTGATAATAAGATAATAAAGGTCAGCTGAGAAGGAATTTTGCCATTCTCTGCCAAGAGAGTAATGCAGTAAAATTTAAGTGTAAGAAATACATGTTTTATGTACAGGGAAAGTGAGAGGTGTGGATGTGTGCACATATGTTTTATTGTTCTTCTACTTTTAGATGTCTCATGCCTTCCTTGAAATGCCCAGTAGGTCATGGTGAAACATTTCTTGCCTTTGTCAATGAACATTGCTGAAATACTTGGATCCCACATGAGAATAAAGGTTATTCTGCTGTGGTGAAAGCTCTCCAGAGTTAATGGCATTTTGATTTGTTTGGAGGTAACTGTACCCAGGTGTCCTTGGAAGGAAGAATGTGATCTCTGGTTTTCAACCAGCTACAAAACACCAACTTAAATAAGCCACAGCTAAGAGTGGATTTAAATTAAAATGCATTACAATGAAGGCTAAATCTGGTCTTGTTGATCCTCTTCTGGTACTCTCACGGTGAGGTTGGTTGAGGAAAAATCAGAAAAACTGGTTCATGTTGTACAGCTGTTGTGTAAACTCAGTTTAAAAATTCAGAATGAGCAGGTTTGAGGTGTAATCTGGCAATGGTGAGGAAGAGGAATCCCAAGGAGGGAGGGAAGGACCTGTTCTGTGTGTTCAGGAGGGATAAGAATGTATTCTTACTGTGCTGTGTTTATGTGCTAAATCACATTAATACTGCTGTAGAGTCTCTGTATTGTATAAGAGAGTGCCCAGCTCAGACATGCCCACTTCAATAAATGGTCCCAATTTAACCAATGCTAATTAAGGCCATGGTCTCCTGCAGTAATGAGGATTTCATTAGCAAATTCTGGTTTGCAGAATCAGCCTGTGGTTTTACAGCAGTGAGAATGCTGACAGATCTCTCCTTTCCATGTCAGTGGCTTCTGGGAAAGGAGCTGCTTGTATAGACTGGGAATATGCAATTTTCACTCCCTCACACTGGATTAAAGGCAGTGTTTTCTCTGCTTTAATCTCTACCCAGTGACAGTTGCTGCAACAGAGAAGGTAACCTCTTTCTGGCTGTTTTTGAGGTTGTGAAATACATTTTCATGCACTGTTTCCTTTTTAATTTCTTTGCTTTTTGAAGAGCTCCTTGTCCTGTCAGGTTCATATTTATTGCTTTTCTGGCAAATGCTGTTCTCAGTCGGAAGAATATCATGTCAAAGAAATGAAAGGGGATATCTGTTGGCAGTTTTCCACAGAGGTTTGAATCTGTTCTCTCCAATTCCCTCCCTGAGCCAACGTGGGATGCACACAGTG